AACTGCAGAGGAAGGACCTGCATTCCTAAAGAAAATGTGGAGTGATGGCTTACCTTACTGTCCCCTAGGACTGTAATAATAGGAATACCCAGGTTTTTCACATGCTGCCTGACGTTTGGGCCCACTGCTATAGCTAGCTGCTGGAGAATGCTCAGTGTTTGTTGTACCTGGAGAGGCAAAAAAAGTCTGAAGTTGGCAAGTGTTAAATATAAATACTCTGTGCTCCAGATTCTCCTCCAAGACACAGTGCACTATAAAAATCACATTGCTGTTTTATGTCCAAAAGCCCTGCTGGAGTCAGTCTAGGTAATACTTCTCCTTGAATTAGTTCTTCCATTTGCAAACAATTTCACATACAGCTGAAAGCTGTTGCTTATATTTTATGTCAATTTTAAGAACCCCAACACTAATTATTTTCAGGCAAAGGTAGTTTAAATTTACATTTGTCACAATTAATGTTTACACTGCATATAGAAAGAGAGCTATAACATATATTTCCTAATGGGAAGAAACAAATTTAAGAAACACAGCAACTGTCAGATGGAGGAATTGAAACTACTCAAAATCACTGACTTGAATGGATTTCTGTTAAATCTTTCAAGAAAGAAGGTGGGTTCATCCTTCTCCCCATCTGACCCAAGAAGGAAATGAAGTTAGCTAGATCAAGGGTGTTGAACTCATTCACACCAGATAACCCAGAAGCAGTGGTGGCATTAATCCCCCCCAGCCGTCAGAGCTGCTGTTTCAGTGTGGTTCTGGAACTTGAGAGTAAAACATTGCTGCTGCTGCTCCCCACTGAAAACCCGGATTTCAACAGCAGGTGATGTGGGGGGGGAGGGGTCGAGTACTGTTAACTTCCTAGGTTCCAGAACTGTGCTGAAAGAGCAGCAAGTATTAATGCCATGGCCCTAGAGGCTCAAGCAGCCAAAGCGACAAGCCCCATGGGTCAAATTCAGTCTGCAGAGATAAGCAATCCAAGCCACAAGAAGCCCCACAAGCTGGATGTTTGATACCCTTGGGCTACATAAGTTTAAAGTTACTGCCATTGTGATTTTGATTAACATACCAAGATTTTATTGGAGTCATTGAGGCGAGACTTCAAAGCAGCTGGAAGTTCTCCTAGATTTGGCTGTATGAACTTGGCATCATTAATGATGCTCGCCACTTCATCTAGACCTTCCTTTCGGATCTTCCAGTTTTTGTCACCAATCTTAGACACCAGTTCACTTGTAATCTTCTCACTATTAAAAAAGAAAAAGCAAGCATAGCTTAATCCCTTACATTTAGTTCCTTTTATGACCTATTTAGTGCAACTATAACACAATATGCTCCAGAGAACACACAAAGATTGCAGCACGCTAGACAAGAAGCACTTAGGATAGAAAGATGGCATTTTACAAAATACAGAAGAAAGGGGCAGTCTTTAGTTTGTAGAATCAAACTCACCTGATATCTGCTCTTGGAAGGAGATCCACAACATCACTCCCTACATCCTCCTGCTCTTCTTCCTCACCATCATCCCCATTGCCACCACTGTGCCTGGAAACACCTCGAGTTGGGGCTGGTGCGGTTTGTCCCTGCATCTACAAATGATACATAAAGTCAATCTTTAGCAAATGCTGGGAGAAACAAGGCATTTAAGAATATTGCATTTGAAACTGTTCACAAACACAACCACAAATTAAGTGGTCAGAGCAATGGATTTTCGAGCTTCCAGTGTACTGCTCCAGTACAGAAATAATGGAAAGCCAAAACAGTTTCTTTGAATAGCTAATTACACACAGAAGTTTTGAGGGCTGACTTTTTTTTTGTGAAAGATAGCCAGGATAACCAGCCCACTGGAGATTTCTAAACCAAGAATAAGTGGCACTTGTAGGTGTTTGTTAAAAGAGTTAAGTCCTGCAGAGTTACCTTCTCAAATTCCGCATCTATTTGGGAGAGAAGAGCTGGCTTCTCATCCTCAAAGAACATTCGCAGAGGGGGACCCACGTAGAGATACATGACTCCCAACAACGTAATAGCAGAGGTCCTCACAGCCTGCCAGAAAAGGACAAAAGTATTTAAGATTTTAGACTAAACGTATTAAAAATGTCAGACGTAATCCTTAGTTACTCACTGGGTTAGTGGCAGCAAGAGCTGTTTTCACATTGCTAATGAAAGCTTTGACATTCAACCTGAAGAAAAAAAAAAAAAGAAGAAAAGCACATATGAATGTGACAGCAAAAATGTTGAAGCACCAGCAAGAGACATCAGCTACAGCTGGTTATAGAACAAAGAGGCAAGCATGAAATAGAATGGAACATAACAAAAAACCTCAAAGCACTAGACATTTGTCAATTAGCCCAAAGCTACAAATGCAGCTTGTATGTTTCAAAAACCAAAACCAAAAAAAACCCCAAACACCACTGCATGATTTTTCCATTTGCCATTGAACGGGAAAATCCAAAACAGAGCGATTTACTTCCAACTTGAAGACAGCTATTTTGTTGCTTGAAAAAGAACAATGATTTACTCTACATTAACTAGTTCTTTTGAGATGCAAGTGTGGGACCCATTGTAGGTGCTCATCAGGGATCCTGGTTTTCCCTGATAAAAAAAACAAACAAACCCCCACAAAAAACACAAACAATTTCTCTCATAAAAAACCTCAAATCCATGATTAAAATGAAAGGCCACTATCTATATCTGTTGAACACAATGTTTTCTTGATATAATAATACCTATAAATGTTGGTATTTGATTTGGGGTTATGGAAAAATCAGAGCTCCCCCTGCTCACAGAACTCAGGTCCAGACCCCTCATTGCCAAGCCATAAACAGCCCTAGCCCCCCACCCAAACAGCCTTGCCAGTGCCCCTCACTCCCCTCCTTGGCCCTGCCAGTACGCCCCTCACTTCCCCACCCCCTGCCTCCCAGCTGCCAGGGCTACAAGGCAAGGACCTGGGTCCACAGCCTGCAGCACCCAGCAGTAGCACCTGGGCCCTGGCTGCCACCTGCAGGAGGCAGCAGCTGCAGAGCACAGCCTGCCCCCCCCCCCACACCCTATGCAGGCTTGGGGGTGAGGGGTGGGGAGGGGAGCAGGGGGGACCCACATCCCCAGGTCTGTGCCCAAGACAGGGGGAAGGCTGCTTGTTGCAGGCTCAGGCTCCCTGCCCTGCTGGCCTCCACAGGGGACTCTGCAGCCTTGTGGGTGTGACTCAGTGATGCAGGGCAGGGCGGGGAAGCTCCTTGCTGCTGAGAGCTCTGTACTGCCCTGGCAAGGCACCCCCTCCTCTCTCTCACACATGCTGCTGCAGGATTGGGGGGGGGGGG